ACTTGTGGAGATCGGAAACAGCAAAATGCAATCTATGCAAGAAACCTCCAATTTCCTTGCCTTTCTTGAAAATCTGAGATTAAAAAAAGAATGGAGCAGTGCTCAGTAGAACATTCCTGATGTACACACTACAACCAGAAAATCTATAATAAACATCTACTGAGATGACTGGATTCAAGGAGGACAATCTGCACTGTGACCCAGTTTGAACAGTGAAGGGCTCTGTTTCTCCATCTGTGTTCAGAACTGGTTTTTAAAGATTATTTTGAGGAAAACAACTCAAATTGCCACAGCAATGTTAGTTTAGTGCCCCATTTGCAAGACACCAATTTGTCCATGGCAAGGCTTGAGGTCAGGCTGCCCTTCTGCTCTGCAGGTGCTCTCAGGGATATAAATTACCCCTTGGCATGTAAAGTAATTGGGAGTTAGCAAATGCCAAATGTTTTGATATATAAACCACTCCTTATCAATTTAATCCAGAACAGAATCAGCTACTGCATGAGTGCTACCTCCCTGGTAATAACACTAACTGAAAAGCAGATTAATGTGTTAATTATATTCCAGGCCAAACCTCATTACTGTTCCATCCAGTTCAGCCAATCTTTGGGTGATGTCGCAGAAAAGCAATGTTTTACCAGCACACAGTAACTCCAGAGGGTCCATTTGGGCTGCTCCCAGCTCCAGAAAAAGTCCATGCATGCAGATGCAGCACCATGGAGAAAAGGTAGTTATTTCAAGGAGCAGTCTGAAGTGTAATTCAGCCAACACACCATATAAAAGGAGCGAGTAAAATTTCCATCCAAATGTCAATGTCTCCCCATTGTATAAGTGACAAATTTGTGGACACAAGGTGTGCTCAGGGTACGTGCGTGCCACAGAGAGAGCTGAATGCAGGTTCTCCGACTTCCAGAAAGAGAGAACTCTCATTTAGTGACATTCAGACATTAAAACATAGTATCAAAACCCCTCTGCTAGCAGGTGGTACTAATGTTTTCAGTTGTGTTTTTCCCTTGGGAATAGCACATAGTAATAAAGACCAATAGTTGCTATTCGGAAAACAAAACCTACTCTGCAAATGTAACTCAAGATTCCATGGAAGCTATGGCTTACCTGGTCCATTTCCTTCTTGGCCATGCCAAATTTGTAGTGACCTAGCAAGAATGGCCACACTTCCTTCCGAATCTCATGCTGGACTCCACCATAGTAAACTCTCCTGAGTAATTCCAGTTCCTTGTAGTTCTACAGTGGCCAGGAGAAAGAAGTGTTGAAGGCAACACATCAGTATTTAACTCAGGTACACTCCAAGACACTTCACACTGAGTACAGAGACAGTGAAATACATGCAGGACACTAAATAAATTCTGCAGCTTGACTAAAGCCTTCAGGACCTTAGCTGAAATCCAGCCTAATGTAGGCTGTCATGACTTCTACAAAAATAATCGGAATTTGAATAGATCAGTTGCTTTTACAATAATTTATATCTTTGCCATCATCAGAGAAGCAAAGGAGAGAGGGGCGGTAAGAACTGCCTCTCTCTCTCAAGTTGAGAAGTGGTCAAACCCCTTTAGTATTTCTTGGGGCCCGCTGCAGGTGATTTCCTGCCCGGCGAGCAGCGTGTGGAGCCCGTGCAGGGACACGAAGGGGACTGTCACTGACCTTCTTGTCCTTCTGGTACTTGCTCCAGACCTCCTTGGTGAGGCCGGCGGCGGCGCTGGCGGGTCTGTCGGGGGGCACGATGCTGTGGTTGACCAGCGCCGAGAGGTGCGTGCGCACCGTGGACAGGTGCCGGCAGTGCGCCAGCCCTGCGGGGACAGCGGGGACAGCTCAGCCCCACGGCCCGGGCACCTGGGAGCCCCAGGCACGGCCCTGCCTGGACTGAGCTCGCTCTGCACCGTCTGACAGTCAGCAATTACAGCAGAGCCAAAGGTGGAACAGATGGGACGCAGACCAGCAACAGCCACGCCGTGTGTTACACTGCCACGTAAAACCACGTTCTGTCTTCACCGTGCATCGCTCCTCCCACTGCCAGCAGCCAAACTCACAAACACTGAAATGCTGGCACTGCAGTTACATCCACCCTACCGCCCTCAATTTAGGGTCAGACTGCTTTCTAAGCCAAACATCCCATGTTGTTTAGATAAACATATGGATGCCACATGGGCCACAAGCTTCACTTACATCCATAAAAGGCTCTGGAAATGATCTGCCTCTTCATGCTTTCACACAACATCTTTAGAGGAGTTCTGTGGAGAGGCACCAACAGGATAAGAGCAGGTGGTGAAGACAGCGAGCCTCAGGAATTTCATCCTGATCCCTGTATCCTACACACAGCATTTTTTTTTCTCTGCACCAAGATTTATTTAGTTAAAGGACACAGTAATAACAAACTCCACTTATTAAAGCATTTCCCCCACCAGCGCTTTGGCCCCAGACACATTTCCCCCTGGCACACACAGTCACAACTGCTGCAGGTGCACTGTAGAGGTCTGTGTGAAATTGAACTGTTGTCCTTCATTCAGTTGTTAATGACTTGTTAAAGATAACATTCCCAGAGTTGAAGTATTTTATACTACACAAAATAACCAGATGAAATTTTTCTATCAAAATGTGACTTGAGCACAATTTAATAGGTTAGTTTTCATAAACTAAATTTCTTGCTGCCTAACTTCATCTTTCTATATTAGAAACTACTTGAAAATTGTTACTTGAAAATTGTTACTCTTTGTCTTGTGAGTGCTGCAACCGCTCAAACCTTCCTGCTTTTACCCGTGGCATGCACACAGCTTGCTCACCGGTCGTGGATGCAGGTGCAGCAGCTGGGAATGTCGTAGGGAGAGCTGCCCATGGAACAGGAGATACAGGAGGAGCCCTGGCTGCAGTGCTCCAGCTGCCACGACAGCAGGTTTGCCCCAAAGCCTTGCATCTCTATCATCTCACTGGTGTCTGTGGAAAAACCAGACAAGACAGAAGGACATCAGCCTCTTCCATTCTCTCCCCCTCCTCCTCCTCCTGTGCATCCTGATGGTTCATGCCTCACTTCTCAACAGGCTCTGAGCCTCGGTTCCAGGAACAGGAGAGCAGCATCCTCAGAATCACTGCTCTGGACCTGCAGCATGCTGTGCAGGGTCCCTTCCCAGGAAGACAAACCCCTTCACCATTTGCCCTCTCTTGCCCATGCACATCCCAGTTCATGTTTCAAGAGAACAGAGAAAAGGGTGCTGCAGTAAGAACTAAACTGGTTCTTGTAAGATTATGGAAATGTTTTTTATGGCCAGAAGTGATAGTCTAGCCCAACCTTGTATTTAATTCAGGCCTCAGAATTTCATTTTGCAGTTCCTGGAATCAGCCATAGAACTGCTGGTCCAGCCAGAGTGAAAGCTGGAACATGAAAGAAATTAAGGCAGACTGAGTCAGTTACTTTCAGAAGATGCTTCTTTCCCCCTCAGAACCAGATCCTAAAATACTTAGCACAGAAGGACAGTTCCAATGTCTACTTTCTACAGGAGTGTGTGATCCAACTGTACAATGCAGCTTCCTGAGTTATCTTGCTCTACTAAATCTATTTGCCTTTTCAACCAGCTTCAGAAAGGCAACTCAAAAAATCAGCAGCTCCCTTCAGAAAGCTTGGCTTCAGCTCTTCAGTCTTCCCAGCTGGCATTTGAACTCGTGGGGTTTTTGGTTTATAATAAATAACTGGCCTTTCAGCTCACCCATGATTAAAATTAAGGCAAATACAATAATGTATGTCATAAAGTATGCCACTAAATTAACATTTACAAGCAAAATCCAGTCCCCTGGGCCGTGCTTTTAAAACAGGTATTTGTTGAGTGGTGGGGAGGGGCAATTCCAAACCATCTCATGCATTTTAAATCAAGGTAGCACAAAGCATTTTAAGAGTGCCTATTAGAAAGTGGGCAGAGGTGAGGGCGGAGTGGAGTAAACCCATTTGTTAACAGAAAAAGCACAGGCTCATGCGGAAGCAATCATGTGTGTTTCATTTCACAAAACAAAGTGTGATGCAAAAATGCTCTTCACCTTAATTCTTCAGGAAGGAGCTGAACGACCCAGTCTTTATTGCAGCTTCTTATTGGGTTCAAATAAAAACCACTCTATAAACATTTTTAGATCATTAGTTTTTGCCTCCCCTCTGTAGACAGGAAAATTGAGTTTTTCAGTTCTAATTTTTTATTCTGTTTTTTAGAGAAACAAGGAAAGAACCCCACAGAACCTAAAGATTCAGATGAAAGGTACCTGAATTAGTGAAGAATTAGAGTGAACAGCATCTTTTATTTAATTGTAGTGGTGTTATCTGTAACTTCAGCTACATGCAAAAGTCGAGCATGTTGCAAAATGTCAAAGCAGATGGCTGGCAAACCTGCTACAACAGTGTTGTCATTATGGGATGGGGCTGCTGGAGAGACAGCAGCCCAGACAGACTATTCCCAGGCACATCCCTAACTCTACCATCCCCTTCAAGGTTAAATAACCAAAACCAGACACCTGACAGCCATTCTAGTGGGATAACTTAACATGTTCTATCAACTGACTAAAGACTAAATTGTGTTCCTTCTGGTTAACATGTATGTGGCAGTTAAATGTCTTCCTTCCCATTTTTGCCCATATCCAGGCACGATCAGTTAGGACACACTGAAACTTCCTAAAACAGAGTCTTTTTTCAAGGGCAACACTGTTTTTGAAACTTCTTTCCATCCATGCATTCCAAGAAATCTTTATTAACTTGGGCTGGGCTTTATCAATTTATAGGGACTTCTCCCTTGGGGCAAGTGTGTGGGCAGCCTAGAAGAACTGAGGCTCTCCTTGAACACCTGCTCATTCCCTGTCTAACCCAGAACTTCGGCATTGTACAGAGATGCAGGGCAATTATTGTCTCTTGCAGTCAGTCCCACCAGTCCAGGCTATAAGAGAAAGCAAGGGCTTCTCAGAATTCAGAGCTAAACTACTGGATGCCAAATGCACACACCTCTTGAGAATACCAACTTAAATAATATGAAAAAATAGATGAAAATTTGTGGAGGGGTGGTGGAGTTCACAGCTGATCTTCTGCAGCCCACCCAGCCTATGGATGCAAGTGAACGAAAGCACTGACCCCAGACAGGCACTGCATCTCCACACAGCCTCCTCTGCGTGCTCTGCTACCTCACCTGCGAGCTCACAAAGCTGATACTCTCCCTCCTTCTCTCCTGAGAACCTGCTCTAGCATCCAGACTTTATGAACGTGGGGCAGGAAGCCCCAAGGAGAGGAGGCTTGCTGCTCAGCAGCACACACACCACGGGACAGGGAAGATGCTGTTCCCACTCCCCACAGGCCTTGAGCCCATTGCCAGCCTCTCCACAGACACCTCCATCTCCAGATCCCATGGTGTGAGTGAAATGTCCTTCCCTGTCATAATGCCAACACTGTTGTATGCATCAGTGGAAGGAGCTGCAAGAGAGCTCTGGGACACAGGGGGAGGAGGATAAAAACCTTTCATCCTATTAGGAGCTGTGAGGTTCCGAGAGCAGATCATTGATAGCATTGCGTGTAGTTTATCTTCCTCCTCCTCATCATCGTCAACAGAGGTAGAGCGGCTGGCAGCTAAGTGGTGGTAGTTAATAGTTACTGCTCAAAGAAAATAATGAAAGAGGAGCATAAGAAGAAAGAACTCAGTGCTGTGGGAAAGCTCAAAAGGACATGGTCAGCAAAGACAAGGGACCTGAATCCTGCCCTCTGCTCGAGGACACAAGCTCTTGTAAATGGGTGTGAAAACCGAGTTTCTTACAGAAACAAAGCATGCTCCACCAAACTCAGGCCAGCCTTTGAGTGTGCACAGGCTGTGAGAGCACACATGGCACACCACAGCCAGGGAGAAAGATCCCAGTTCCAGCCTGCAGCAGCTGAGTATGCTTTTGAGCAGAGCTCCACGGGAATTCTAGGCTCCAGCTAGCTTCTGTCCTTCACTGTGCCCTAGGAGTGCTGTGGCCCTTTCCCTGAAACCTGTGCCAGATGCATCTGGACAGCAAACGTCACTCCCTGTGTGTGTGGCTCTGCAGACAGGCAGAGTTCTGCCTGGCACAGGACCTGCAGCAGGCTGAGGCACGAGGTGCTTTGCTGGTGTGTGCACAGACTTACCTGTGCCAGCCCAGGAGCCCTGACAGTGCAGCCAGCACTGCAGCCTGGGTCAGGGGGCTGCAGAGGAGACTCCTGCCTTCTCACCCTGCAGCAAGTCCCAGGATGAGCAGTAACTCCAAACCCCCTGCAAACTTTAGGGTCTGATCTTCCCAGGAAGATCTTGCTTCTTTGCCAAGGGGAATAAAACTGAACACGCTGTTTGAGAACTAGCTCAAATGCCTTCTTGCATGTAAGGAATTTGTACTCACTGATGACATGAGGTGGTTTGGTGCTTGGGAATTAATTTCGTTTCCTTGGAAGGGCCTTTATTTATCCATTGTTAAATTTGTGCTTCCAAGCCAGGAAAACTTAGCCCAGGGAGTTCTTGGGGTACTTTTAAGGGTTTATGGTTGACTTTTTTTCCTAATAACAACATTATGAGCAAGCACTGTGGCCAGTAAAAATATCCTCACTTCAGAAGCAAAACTGCTTTTGGCTAGTCAAGCAATCTTTCTTGCTTCAGTCTCAGTTTGCAAGCCCAGGGGAGTATTTTGAAAACTAGCTCTGTAAAACACAGAGTAAATGTAAGATTCCCCACCTCAACTCCATTTCTACTGGAGTAGAAAAGATAACAAGTCTCACTGCATTAAGGAAATCTAAGCTGTACCTGTTGATCACAATTATCTCTCAGTGAAATTTATTAGAGGTTTGTTTTTTTTATCGCCTTACAAAACTGTGGCTTGTTACCTGCAGGTACTTCCCAGGATATTACTTCCAAGATTTTCCCAGATGCCGGATTTGTTTTTTTCATTTGGTTTTTTTTTTTCAAACAAAGCAGAACAGGGGCACTTACTGTTATCGTGCTTGTGTCCAGGATAAATAATTCTGAAGACATAGTCTGTGGATGTGTCCTCAGCTGGCATCTCTTCCAGGTCCACTGATTTGTTGCTGTTCCGTTTTCGAAGCTTTGGAAACACCTTGCCCTAGAGAAAATAGTAATTCCATACATTCAGCTATGAGTGACTAACAGAGTACAACCAGTTAAGTACTACAGACCTTTGGCATCTTAAATCTCCGAAGTTTCAATGTTCAGAGGAGCTGAGGGAGAAAACAGTGGAGTCTTATATAGTTGGTGCTTTAGGGGTACTTAATACTACTTTTCTGTGTGCTGTAAACCAGCCTTTTCTTGTAATCTATGGGAGCTGGGCACCCCAAACCTCTGCAGCAGCTCTGTCCAGTCCATCTGAGCCTCATTTCTATTGTGTGGGTTTGTATCTTGATGCAACTTGATTCCAGCTCATTGCTCAACGGGGTAATGAAGGTATGAACAACTTTTAAAGACCACATGTGTAAGAAGCAGACTGGACTAAATTGAGTTATTCTGTGCCCTACTTTACCATAAAGCTGCTTGAAGTCAGTGCTAGACCCTGTGGAGCAGAGCTATCAACACTAGCCTCACCCAAGAGCTCAGCAGAAAAAGCAGTACCTTGCCCTGCTGGGACCACAGCGGGGGCTCCAGCTGGCCACGGGGCAGGAGCCCATTTTCCAGGCAGGACAGGAAGGCGAGGAGGTGCCCTCCTTGGGGGAAGTGCAGCGGAGGCCTCTGCGTCCCATCCTGACTCACCAGCACTAATGTCCATCTGCTTTCTGCTGCAAGGAGGACAAGGGGAGTCCACACTGTTACATCAGAGCTTATCTGCTCTTACCTTCTAAGTGAATTTTATTTGGGATCATCTCTAAGTAGATAAATAAACCTTTGTAAGGCACAGTGTGATCTAAGGATGATATCAGCCCTTTAGTCTTAAAGAAACTCAAGATACAAGCAAACTGTGAAAGCCTCATACAGTTGTCATCCTCTGTCAGCTGGGACTGGAGATTTCAACACTCATTCCCACATGGCCAGAACTAGTCAGAGGTGTTCCCGACACTGAGGGAGGAAAAGCAATCATTCAAGTGGCTCTCCTGTTTCTCTATTTTTAAGGAATATATGCTTAAGGGTTAAGCTTACGTTGCTGGTGGCAGTGGATGCAGACGATCTGGCTCAGTGGCACAATCAATGCGTAGTCCCAGTAAACACTAAAAAGGAAGGAAAATACAGGAAACATTGTTTTTTCCATATTCAGGAATATGGTGCTTGCAGTTCCAAACACCTGATAGAAATAAGTCTGCTAAGTTAATAACTGCTTATTAAATTTGGTCAATGAAAGTAAATTATTAGTAAAGTAAACAGCAAAGGAAAGCTAGTTTCTCCACACTGAATATTCTGGTACCAGGTTTGTACAACTTCTGCTTCCCTCTTCCCCTCCCCTTCCTCTTTCCTGGTGTCCCCCTGCAGGTTACACAGTTCTTCCCGTCTTTCCTGAATGCAATGAGTACCTTTTCTCCAGTTCTGAATCTCCAAGGGTTCCATTCATCAGCTGGTTTGGAGTCCATTTTAATGTCAAACTATCTGCTGATTGATGAAGGGAGAGATACCCAGGAATTGCCTCCAAGTCATCTTTCTGTTCACAGAAGCAACAAACAGACAACCCAGGTGACTCAAGTGCACAAAATATCTGCATAAAATATATGCTCCAGTCTTTCTATGCCATGCAAGTTCCATAGCTGCAGTATGTGGGAAGAGCAGAGGGAAACCCTAACAGCAGAAGTACTGGTATGCAATATTGCTACTAGCAAGAGGGGAAAAACCAGTCAGCTGGTTTATGAAATACAGTCCAGTATGCTTGCTCCTGCCTACGGCCCACTGCTCACTGACAGGGGTCAGGCAGTGAAAGCATCTGTCCCGTGCCAAATCTGCCGCAGCACAGGAGAGCCGAGCAGAAGGCAGCTCTGTGCTCTGTGCTGAGAACAGAATGCAGCGATCCCCTGCCAGGCCCGAGCTCTACCCCCAGCCCCAGCCCAACGTGCCCGCACTCACCGGCTGCACCAGGACGTTGTTCTTGCCGTAGAGAAGGTGAGTCCTGGAATTCTGGTGCAGGGACTCCACGTACTCCCGTGCCGACGCAGCAAAGCGATCTTCCGACGTGCTGCCGCTGGAGTGGCGCTTCCGGATCTGCACACACAGCCAGGGCAGGTCAGGAGGGCACAGCACAGCAACTCGGCCCCTGCAGAGCGCAACTCTTGTGCAGCCAGGGGGTTTGCAGAGAAATCACCTGGACTCTCAACTCAGCCCTGATCATGGCACCTCAGAATTTCTTGTGAACTACCTGGTCGGATCACAACTGTCAAAAGCCACAGAATTAATGCTGGATCTCAAACTTTTCTATGTATAGATAAAAGGACACTGTGACCCAAACAGACTTCTAATCTGTGATAAAGCTGCGTTACAGAAGAAAGAAGAAAGGCTGTTCCAGGTTCTGGTATCTCCCTCATGGGGCTGTTTTCATTAGCAGGCTGTGCCCTAACTCAGAGGCAGGTACACAGTAAATACCTACTCCCAGGGCTGGGCGCTTGGAGGGGGAGTCCTGGCGGCCGTGAGCGCCGTGGATCCGGTGCCGCTGCACCAGCTCGTCGGCCGAAGGGTCTGTCCAGTAGTGGTCAGCTGTCTTTAGCTTGGTGTACTCCAGAGCACACGGTCCAACTAGGAAAAGAGACCAAGGGAGGAACCTTCTGAGCCTGTTCAGAGACATACTCAGTGCTATCCTGCTGGCTGAGCACTGAAGGTGAGATTTCCTTCTCAAGCCAAGTGAATAATAATGGTCACCAATCCTACGGGATCAGCCCACAATACAGACAACAGTATAATAATGTATCACTCCTACTATCCAGGGCTGTGTGAGTATTCCTGTAGGACACAGTCCCTGCCACAGCAGCATTAGCAGTTACAAAGTGCCAGCAAGCATTCAGTAAAAATCCATTCCCATTCTGCTTTCTAATCCAACCAATAACTACTATTAAAAGCAGATCAGTTTCTTCTGGTCTTGTAAGCAACTTCACTGTTGCTCTAGTATAAATAGTTAACTACATACAAGATATAAAATTACCTCTTGTAACACTGTCATAATACAAAATGCCTTAAGCATTTTCTTCAGCATAAAAAGTAACTTTGCAAGAACTCACCTAGCAGAGAAGCCAGTATTGGGCCACAAACAGGATCTGCCAGTAAAGCTTCTTTTTCATAGTATTTACTACGAATAAAAGATCAGAGCTCAGTTTAAAACAGTAGTTGGTATGAACCATTTCAAAGCTTGGGTTTAGCTACAGGTCTAACACAATGGGCCTCTTGATATGCTCATTCTGTCTCATCTATTTTCCAGCTGAGTTTGGAGAGGTGGAAGCTTGCCTTGTGCTCAGTGTGTTTACCCAGTATATTTGATTTGGGACTTTGGGCAGAATTGCAATATGGGAACAAACAATAGTTCTCTGCAAGCAATTTTGTCCATTTTCCACAGAGACAAAACAATCCACACATTCTTAAACATGTCTTCCATCTGTAAGGAATCATCTTGAAACACTGTGAAGAACTATGAACTGCTACATTGCTCTTGCAGTGACCCCAAAGTCTTGCCATTGCAGCAGGCAAAGCTGCTTTACAAAACTACATGGCCAAAAAATCCAAACACCCACAGTTCTCGAATGCCACTGTCCTCTGTGGTCTGTTCACTAGATGGGGCTCAAACTCTAAAGCACCTGCTCCTCCTCCAGAACAGAACAGCTGAAGGATGTGAACGTGGAGCATTTGAGCAGTAATGAAACAAAAATGAATGGTAACAAGCCTTATGAAAAGGTTTGTTTTATTCACCGAGTCAGGTTCTCAAAATCACACGCCTGCAATGAAGGACCTGATCCTAACTCATCTGAACGATGGGGAAGGCAGTGAGGTGAACATCTACAACACAGTGGTGGAACAACTGAGAGCAAACTCCCCTGATGTGTCTCCTGCGGATTATGTGGAAAAGAAATTAAAACCCCTTGTACCCATGTATCTGCAGACACTGAGGCAGTGGACTAAAATGCTTTCATTAACTGTCTCTGGGACATGGCCAACCCTCCCTCTGCCTCTTCTGCACACAGCTCATAAAATCCAAGCTGGCATTACATATCCCAGAGCAACAGTTTGCTTGAACAGCACAAAGACCTTTCTTCCATTCTCTTCCTTTTAGTGGCAAGATCCATAATGAAAACAAAGCTGATGACAAGGAAAACAGTAACACAAACTTGGAAAATACTGTGAAATTTGCTCTTGCTTTGCCCTTAGCTCTCATCCTTGTTCAGACCCATTGGCTTTGGATGGACAAGAATGTGTTGCCAGTGCAGAACAACAAGAGCACCCCTGCCAGCATACTTCCTTTCTGGGTCCACACCAAGCTTCAAGGTCCCTTCCTTTCTCTTTTTATGGGAGGCTGTCCTCAGTGTGCCCCATTCAGTCTTCTGTATCGTGGGTTAAGAGAGGGCAGGAAGGATAGGAGTTGAAAGCCACTCCTTGGCAAACCACAGCTGATGCTGGGCAGCAGGAAGCAAGAACAGAACTGAGAGGATTCATCTTTGCCTCTTAAGGAGTCCGTGGGGAATACATTCATAAAGCATTGATGCTCTTCTCTGCTTTTGCAAGGGAAGACTTTCACTTCACACAAAGCTTGATTTTTCTAAAAAGGAAACAGGATTTAAAGAACCTGTTTTCGCAACCCTAAGGTTTTATGTCACTAGCTCCTCCTGTTCTAATTCTCCTTTCTTTCATCTATATAAGGCATTTTCCTCCCTGACATCCTAAGTTCCAAAGGATTATTTTCAACTCATGAACTATTAGAAGATATTTCTATTCCACTAAGGTCCAGGTCCCATTACAATATGGGCACCTAAGGCACTTGAAGTTAGGTTTATAGCTGATTTCTGGAAAGCTGAATGCTTGTTAATGTTTTTTGTAAGCCTGTCAATGATGAAAAACTAAAGTACATTATTTTCTAAATGCCTATGTAACTGGTTTTCATGTTACCAGAAGCCTGCATCACAAGGCTTTGCCAAAGACTTTTGATGGAATCCCTTGCTGCAGACACCTAAATGCAGCCCAACAAATCCCTGTGCTTCTGCTGCTGTCCTTACCTGCAGTTATCAACAATGTACTGCACAATCTTGTCCAGCACCTTCTCAATCAAGGCTGTCCGAACCCAGATGTGCTTGATGGCCTGAGGTGTCAGGACAGGAGTTTTGCTTGTGGTTGATCCCTGCCTTTTGAGGGGTTCCTGCCCATTTGGCTGATTTTTCCTGCAAAAGTTGATAAAATAAAAGTAGTCAGAATTTGCTCTTTTTGATGACAGCTCCATCACCCAGTGAAACCCATCCTCCTGCACCAGGTAACAGAGTGCAGCTGCAGGAGAAAGGTGGCTACAAAGCACAGGGGCACATGCCTTGGCTCTGCACACACTGCCCCAGGCTGAGGGGACAGGAACCCCCTCAATGTCTTTTCCAAAAAACTTCCCCCTTAAAATAGAAGGAGATTCCATTTTGCCTCAGTGAGGAAAGAAACCCTGACATCTTCAGGTTCTTTGCCAGCACTTGGGTTCCCTGTCAGAAACTGTTCAGTTACACAGAGTTAATACATTTGTTTGGGGCAGTTTGGGTGAGATCTGTAATCCACAGGGTTCCAGGTCC